CATTTTTTGAATCAGGAAGTCCATCTGTGTCTTTTGCAGACTGTCGCCGCGATCGGACGTGTTGTCGGACCATGCTTAGTTTGTGCAAGCTCTCAAAAAGTGATAATTGGAAAAGTGCAAATCGAAAATAATCAAATTCCGCAAAGACCCTCGGGCACAAAGAGGTAGATTGGTTTCTAACCAACCTACTTCAACGCGAAAAGACGCTTCTTGCGATGTAATCGCAAACACACATATTAATTAATTAATTAATTAATTAATATACGCAGACTATAATTAAAGTGAAGACAATGAGTCAAAACGATATCCACATGCAACGTCAGCGCGAGCAAGACGAGAGACGGCTCTCATCGATCAGAAATAATCCATATTTCTCGTTTACTGCAACCGAAAATTATGCAAACCCAGACAATACACGGTCAATCACCCCCAGTTCGACTGACCTCTTGAACGTAACGAGCGAGAGAGCGCGCTCTTGTTCTCCCGCGCTACCATCGATGTCTCTAAAGCCAAAAAGTGCCGAGTGTACTCCAATGCATGTATGCACTGACCTACGCTTATCAACAATAAGAAGCACAGCAGTGTCTTTAACCACTGCAACGGTAACAACAACAACAACAACAACAGCAGCAGCAACGGTATCGACCAACCGTTTATTATCATCATCAGCAACTTCGCCATCGATAAACAAACCCGTAGCCAACACAAAAACGGCGTTCGCTGCGCTGCCCGAAAAATACACAATAAGCAACGAAAATAAAAGGCCGGCTGTGCAGACTGGTATGGATCGCTACATCCAAATCAAAAGAAAGCTGAGCCCCCTAAATTCTAAGCGAAAAATAACCCGTGCAAATTATAATTCAGCTGAGCCTGAAACGCCCATTAATACAAACAGATTTAAAATTTTGGAAGACGCTACTGACGAAGAGGTTGACGAAGCTACCGAAGCTGAGAAGAAGAAACCGAAGCCCCCCCCCCCAATATACATCCGGGAGAAAAGCTGCAATGCACTTGTTAACAAAATAATTGAGCTTATTGGAAAAGATAACTTCCATATAATTCCCCTTGTGAAGGGCAGCATACACGAAACAAAAGTTCAAACGAAGAACGAAGACAATTACCGAGTGTTGTCTAAATATCTTAAAGACAAGAAAAAGAACTTCTACACGTACCAACTTAAAAGCAGCAAGGGTCTGCAAGTTGAACTTAAAGGAATTGAATCCGATGTAACACCTGAAGAAGTAAAAAATGCACTACAAGACAAAGGTTTTAACACTAAGACAGTCTTCAATATCTTGAACAGGGATAGGAAACCGCAACCACTCTTCAAGATAGAGCTCGAACCGGAGACTAAGCCCCTTAATAGAAACGAAGTGCACCCCATATACAAACTTCAGTTCCTTCTCCACCGTAGAATCACAGTAGAGCAACCACATAAGCGCAATGGGCCGGTACAATGTACGAACTGCCAAGAATATGGCCATACAAAGTCATACTGCACACTACGCCCAGTGTGTGTAGTTTGTGGAGACCTTCATGACTCAGCACTCTGCCCAGCGAGCAAAAACGACTCCAATGTAAAAAAGTGCGGCAACTGTGGCGGCAATCATACAGCCAACTACAGAGGTTGCTACAGTCGCATCCATCAACGAGGAACCACTGCCTGCTCCCACAACGCACAGCTCACAGCATCAAAATCAAACCCTGAAGTCTTCTTTTCAACTGCACCCAGCTCCTCACTAGGACCCGTAACCCCCAACAAAAATGTGACATTTGCAAGCGCTCTAAAATTAGGACTGGCTCCTCCTGTATCTAAAACTTCATTTCCACAAGCAGCATGTCTAGAACACAACATGACTCAACAACGTCAACCAACGGAGCAGACACAAAGCAACTTTGAAGCAATGATAGTTAGCCTGCAACAAAGCCTAATGGAGTTTATGTCGTTTATGCGCACAACTATGCAAGATTTAATGCGAAACCAAAATCTTCTGATTCAAATGCTGGTCTCACAACAATCAAAATAATGACGTCCTTACGAATTTCTACGTGGAACGCTAACGGCGTCTCACAGCACAAACTTGAGTTAACTCAATTTCTACTCGACAATCACATCGATGTAATGCTACTTTCAGAAACACACCTTACAAACAGATACAATTTTCAAATAAGAGGCTACTCTGGAACAAATCATCCGGACGGTAAAGCACATGGTGGGACTGGCATTCTAATCAGAAGTCGTATTAAGCACCACTATTATAACAAAACTGCTAAAAACTATCTACAGGCCACATCTATAAGCATACAACTGATTACCGGCAACCAACTAACTCTAGCCGCCATATACTGCCCCCCTCGTTTCAATATAACCGAATATGAGTTTTTGCAGTTCTTCAACACATTAGGTGACCATTTTATAGCAGCAGGAGACTACAATGCCAAACACACACACTGGGCATCTCGCCTCGTGACTCCAAAAGGGAAGCAGCTTTACAATGCAATCATAAAATCCAACAACAAGCTTGACTATGTCTCTTCTGGTAGACCAACATACTGGCCGACAGACCCAAAGAAACTACCCGATCTTATTGACTTCGCGATAACCAAAAATATTCCCAAAAATCTTATAAGCGCCGAATGCCTTTCGGATCTTTCATCTGATCACTCGCCGGTCTTATTTCATCTTCTCCAACAACCAGGAACACTAGAACACCAGTTTAACCTGACCTCACAAAAAACCAACTGGCTCAAGTTTAGAAAATATATTAGCTCACATATTAAGCTATGTCCTCGCCTCAACGACGAAGCTGACATAGACAGCTTTGTAACTACACTGGAGTCCGTACTCGTCACTGCGGCTCAAGTTTCCACACCCCAAACCTCAAATATTCAATGCAAGCAAAAGAAGACAAATCTACAAATCGAACAGCTTGTCCTAGAAAAGCGGCGCTTACGTCGGGAGTGGCAATTCTATAGATCGCCATTTGCTAGGCAGAACTTGAAATACGCCTTACGGCAACTAACTAAAGCTCTAAAACAAGAAGGATCATATGCCCAGCGCCGTTATATAGAGCAACTGTCATCAACTTGCTCAAAACACTCACTATGGAGAGCCCACCCATCTCTTAGCTCACCGAAAGAAACCGTGATGCCTATTAGAAACCCCTCAGGCGGCTGGGCGCGCAGCGATAAAGATAGAGCCAGCACATTCGCCGACCACCTTAAAAATGTCTTTCAACCAAATCCTGCCACCAATGCATTCACTCTGCCGACTTTTGCATATGACACCCAGCTTCACCATGAGCCAATTGAGTTTCGCCCATTGGAAATCGTTAGCATCATCAAAAACCATATGAACCCGAAAAAATCTCCAGGCTGCGACCTCATTACCCCTAAAATGATCACGGAGCTTCCATATTGTGCCGTTCGCACCATTACACATCTCTTTAATGGCATCGCTAAACATGGCCACTTTCCAAAAAGATGGAAAAAGTCAATTATTATAATGATTTCGAAGCCAGGAAAAGACCCCACAATCCCCACATCGTACAGACCTATAAGCCTACTATCATGCTTATCTAAACTCTTTGAAAAATGCATATTGACTCGGATAAACACATATCTACGAATCCAGAATGGAATTCCATCACACCAATTCGGATTTCGAGAAAAACACGGAACGATTGAGCAGGTCAACCGAATAACATCAGAAATTCGAAACGCGTTCGAAAAACGTGAGTACTGCACCGCCATATTTCTAGACGTCTCTCAAGCGTTTGATAGAGTTTGGCTAGAAGGCCTAATGTACAAGATCAAGACAATGCTTCCCAGCAACACTCACAAACTTTTAGAGTCTTATCTACACGACAGAAAATTTGCTGTGAGATGTAACACTGCCATATCTGACGATTTTTCTATTTTGGCTGGAGTCCCCCAAGGTAGCGTGCTCGGGCCAACATTATATGTCCTCTACACAGCAGACATCCCGACAAGCAGTCGACTGACAACATCTACTTTTGCTGATGATACAGCTATACTCAGCCGTTCAAAATGTCCAATACAAGCAACTGCGCAACTAGCTCTTCACTTGGCCGACGTTGAAAAATGGCTATCTGATTGGAGAATTAAAGTAAATGAACAAAAATGCAAGCACGTTACTTTCACCCTGAATAGGCAAAACTGCCCACCCCTCACATTAAATAACACCCTGCTTCCGCAATCAAACGAAGTAACGTATCTGGGAGTACATCTCGACAGAAGACTCACATGGCGCCGGCATATTGAAGCCAAAAGAACACACTTAAAGTTGAAAGCCAGTAGCCTACACTGGCTCATCAACGCTCGATCTTCCCTTAGCTTAGACTACAAAGTTTTGCTGTACAACTTAGTACTAAAGCCTATAAGGACGTACGGCTCCCAGTTATGGGGGAATGCTAGCAATAGCAACATCGACATAATCCAGAGGGCTCAATCAAAAATCCTGAGAACGATCACCGGGGCACCGTGGTACGTTCGCAACGAAAACATACATCGTGACTTGAACGTCCCACCAGTCAAAGCAGTTATCGCAGAACAAAAGGATAAGTACCTCACCAAGCTATCTTTGCACCCGAACCACCTTGCAAGAGGTCTAACAAGGTTGTGCAACCAATCCCGTCTTCGTCGCAATGACTTACCTACCCAGCGACCAACTTGAGGGACGCGCAACCAAAATTACAGTCCACTGTTAGTTAAAGTTTAACTTTTAAGATTCGAAAACTTATTGTCAAAGCTAAGAGAAGATTCAATAAATAAAGCAAAGTTAATAAAAAAAAAAAAAAAAAGGAAGTCCATCTGCACCGGAAAATCAAGGTTTGATCATTATCATTTCAGCAATTTAAATTTGTAATCCAATGTAGCCTATAGGTCATTTTTATCAGCAAATATTTCAATTGACGTGGGAAAGATCGGCATTGGCAATTAATTTTTTATAATAACCGCAAAGATATAACAACTTCGTGTTAAAAATGTAGTAATATTTTATATTCGTTTATTTTTTTCCACTTTACCCATTCTTTTACAACTTGTGTATTTTAATTGACATTAAAAGAGAATCGTGGTCGAAAGATAATTATTATCTGCCGCAAAGTTATTCTACATCGAGGTTCTTCGTTGTTCGAGAGAAAGGATATATTTCAACTTCATTTATTCTTTTATAGACTTATTATATGTAGTATTAATATATTTATTAACAGTTTTGATCTTAAAGTGATTACAGATTTTGTTGTTATAGAGATTCATTGATCAGTTCCTAGCTTACTAAAAAATTATACATACGTTACTACCACGAAGGTAAAATGCACAACAGATTCAGAAAGAAATTCATTTTATTTTAAAAAATCGTTTATAGTTTGATGAATTACCAGTCACTCTCGCAATCAAATATACGATTCGTAATGCAAATAGATCAAACTTTTACCCTCTACCGCATACAAAACTATATATGGCTTCATACCTTCAATAACTTCAATAATACGGTGATCGAAATATTATTAGTTATTCTCCTTGCACTATTTTCTGTTGGAATTATAGAACCATTTTGTGTTGCTGTTGTTTGTCTAAAGTTTTGTGCAACCGTCTCAAGCAGGTGAACATAAAATTAATCTATGTTTTTTTTACCTAAATAAACACATACTATTTTACAAAAAAATGTTTCTTTATAATTTCCATGCTCATGCGGTAGACGGTTAAGCTTTTCGGTTAAATTAAAAACTCGAGTTGTGTATTTTCCTGTTTCCCAAGAAAAGCAATACAAATTATTCACGATGGGTTGCGACCTTAGAAATACAACTGTTATGAGTTTTTGATGGTTGTTTAAATAAGTTAGCTTGATTTCTTTGAGGACATTTAAGATTCCTTGTGAGAAATTGGTTACGAATTCAATGTTAAAAACAAGTCACAAATTTTCGCTTTTCTTATATTTTTATTTGCTTATGAGCCTTTTTCTCACAATGTTGGAATTTAACGACTTAATAGTCTTTACTGAACGAGTCCTGGGACTTGTTCGTTTGGTTGGAGCAGCTCATAATACATAGACAACGGCGGCCCCAACCAAAAATATACCTGTACGATCATCTTACCAAGGAAATTGACAGTTATTCTGCGTAATTGGTGTTGACAGTTGTCGCAAGAGTTATAACAGCTCAACAACAACTGGTAACTGCACTCAGAATTTGCGAGACTGGACATTTTTCTACCGTTCTCGAGGTGTTTTAATTTTTTACAAAGAAAGGAAAATCAATTATGTTTAAATAAAGTGAAAAAACCTATCCAAACCTTTCAAAAATAAGTCATTTTTGCAAAGTTAAGTGCAAGTTTTTCTTCTTTTTAATCTCAATCTATTGTGGAAAGTTTTCAAAATTTTGAAAATCAAAAAAGGACACCCACAAAGGATGTGAAAGTGGGTAATGATAAAGTTACAATTTAGAGATCTCTTTAAAAGTTAAAAAGAAATCCCGCCTAGATACGAATTCGGATAATCAAAAATTTTATGAACTAGTTTACACACGAAATTATACACTGATTTTCTCAAGAAATTTTGATTCATCGGAATCATTATATTTAAACTTGTTTTTTACAGTAGGCCCTTCTATAAGAGTTTATAATATAAATTATTCATAAAAGGCCTTTTTACTTAGTTTACCTTACTATATAAAATGCAATAAAATACAAGTGTAAACATTCAAGTTTGAAATTGATCAGTAATTCTACAAAAATGTTGTGTATTTTCTCTTCGCAATAATATCGAAAGGAGATTAATCTTATTTTACAAAGCCTTTTTCTTGTACATTTATGTCCTTTTTGAAAAAAATTATAATGCCTATTTCTGTGCACGCTATGAACATTAACCTATATTTCACGCCAGTCATTTTTTTGTAATGACAAGAAATTAATTTTGTTAGCAGTAAAAACTAAATTGAAATGTAATACATTTTAAAATCCAAACAATTTTTAAAAAGGCATGTTTATGTCAGCAATTAGATGTTTCGTCGCCGTCGAGTGTACCAGCAACATTTTCTAATTTTCGGGAAAGTTGCATCTTCCGACAATTTATATCGCTTTCAAGTGCTTCCATAATCTTTATAGTTGTAAGGAGAAATAATAGATTAGAGCAAAAATCAATACATAATAACAATAATCCGCTTACCTGATCTTTATATTTGGTTACATAAATGTATAGCTCCTTTAATGCAGAAATGGTATCAAATTCTTCATTTTGCCTTACTGATAGTTGTTGCATAGCTGTACTCATTTCCTGGTCGCTTATTTGTGGAAGTCTTGATACGTCTCGGTAAAATTCTTTAACCATAATTCTATAGTTTGGAATATCCTGCATATAGAAACATTTCAAAGGTGTTTATGAGTAATGATATGCATTTCAGTAATCTATTATAAGATAAAACATATTTTTATTCGGATTTTAAAAAATGTATAAGTTTTTTTTTGAAAATAAAATGTCAGTTTAAGCACGACGTAGGACCCCGCACAAAGAAGATTTGTCGGAAAATTTCCGAAGGGTTTGTCCAGAAATTTCACATTTATACACGCAATAATTTTCATATTTCTAATCGTATAAATGTTTGTATTGAAGAGATGAAAACAATTCCATCCCAATAAAAAGTAATTTTTCATGATCAGTATCATAGTCAGTTTATATTGGCTTGTAGCAATTAAAAAAATTAAATGTTCTAAAATACGACTATATTTGCCTTTAACAGGTATATATCTTTTATCGCACTTACACAACTTATATTATTCTGGAAACCAGACTTTTTTGTGTAGTTGTGAGTTCTTGATCAACAAAATGTGAATTTGAGAAGTCTTAAGGTTTTCAAAAACTTTTGACAAGAAAGGTAGTAGTGATATTGGCCTGTAATCTTAATTTGGTTTCAGAATCGGAAGGATCTAACCTTTGTCCATACTATTGGAAATAGGCGCGTAGTTAATACGGTGATGTGATGTGGGTCAACAGCAAGGAAGCTTTAAAAATTTATGGTTTATATTATCGAGGCCTTCAGCATTAAATTTAACCTTAAGAATACTAGCAAGGACATCATACGGGTTTACACATAAAACTTAAACTATTTTCACGGAGAAGTTCGGTAGTTATTTATTTATTTATTAAATCAGGCTTATCAGCTAACTTAACTGTAAAACTAAATATTAAATAAAAAATATTCCCTAAGCACTGGGGATCACGACTCGTGAAACCCAAAATGTGGCAATTATATAATGCAATCTAAAAACTGAGCAACAAATTGGACTATGTGTCCCCTGGTAGCCCCACATAGCCCCACCATTCGCCAGTGCTAATAAAAGCCCAGAAACCACAGATCAACCGTAAAGCTGAAGTCCAACAGAACCAACCGGATAAAAATAAAAGTATGTAAGTTTCCACATTGAACTAACCCCGCAGCTCAACATCGAAGTGGACATCGACTGCCCTACCAATGCTCTTGAAGATATACTCGAGGCAGCAGCCACTATTTCAACACCAAAAGGAAAGAACGTGCAAACCAACCATTTCAAATCTAATTTACCAGTTGAACAGCTTGGTCTGGAAAAGAGTCGACTGCGACGTTCTTGGAAAACTAACAGATCGCCATCCTCAAAAACAACGTCTAAAGGAAGCCACACTAAACCAAGCCCTGAAAAAAGATGCTGAAAATGCACAGCTACGGTACATCGAAAAACTTTCGCCAACCAATACAAAACATCCTCTGTGGAGGGCTCACACAAATATGAGCTCTCCATTCGACACAGTGGCATCGATAAGAAATTCCTGTAGCTGGGCCCGCAGCGACGAAGAAAGAGTCTTCCAGCCGACCTCTGCCACTGGTCCATTTGTCCTACCACAAATCTAGTCTGAAACTAATTCCTTACAAACTCTGTTTCAGCCAATGTAGATCAGGACCGCCCTGTTGATCAGTGAAAACGCAGTGACCCTCGGCCGGGATTTTGTATTGACAATGGGGAAATATGCTCCGCCGTCGGCTCCTTCCCACGTTGGACGTCAAGGTCCGAAGTCCGGTGCCGTCCCGTTACTTCCTTCTTCCCATGGCCATTCGCTGCTCTCTTGTATCGCTGTCCCTCTCGGACTCTCTCTATCTTTGTCTGAGGCTCAGGGCACCACTCTACGTGCATACTCTGCTTGCTTTTTAACTTGTGGGGAGTTATTCAACTCCTCACACTCATCACTGGGATAATAAGAGGATAATTACTAACCGAAAATATTAAAAAAATCTACACATTCTTCTACTACTCTCATAATTTTACAGATGACCGGAAAAGCACACAATTCCCTCATCCTACAGACTAATAAGTTCATTATCGTGTCTGTGTAAATTGTTAGAATAATCCCTTCTAGCACACAAATTCATCCGGGCACATCAATTTGGCTTCCGTCACAGCCACGGAACAATCAAACAAGTTAACAGAATAACATCAGAAATACGCACAGCCGATGTATCTCAAGCTTTCGATCGAGTCTGACTGAATAAATGAAATGAATTAAATGAACAAATATGTAATCACATAACTTTTACTTTGAACTGGCAAACATGCCTCCACTATCATTGTATAGTACGCAAATTCTCCAAGTCAACGAATAAACGTATCTCGGCGTTCACCTAGACAGACGACTAACCTGGAGAAGGCACATCGCATGCAAGAAACTACATCTAAAACTAAAAGCCAGCAGCTTCCACTGGATCTCAAACGCTTGATCGCCCCTGTGTCTGGACTAGAAGATCCTGCTGTACAACATCACTCTCAAGCATATCTGGACATTTAATTCCCAGCTGTGAGGGAACACGAGCAGCAGCAACATAGACATGATACAGCGCGCAGAATCGAAAATTACTAGGGCACCACGGTATTTTCGCAACCAAAAAACATCCACAGGAACCTCGGTATTCTTGCAGTAAATAAATACAAAAAAAAACAAGCAAGGCAAACCTTCTTCTAGATTGTTTTCGATTACATTTCTATCATTTGGCTTTTCTGTAATTTCACAAACACTCATCCTCGATTGCACTTAAGCAGTCAATGCAATTCTAAGAGCTTTTCGCTTTATCAATCGTTTCAGTATCATCTAATATAACTGCAAATACCATTTCGCATTCCCCGAAACCGACTTTTGGTTGTGAAAGGCCTGCCAGGTTTTTCCTTTCTAGTCTGGGACGCCCTCTGCTATGTTTCCGAAAGATCGGAGAGATCTCTTCGCCGTCTAATGAGTGGTCTGAAAGCTCCTCCTGTTGATTTTCCTGCGATGCTTTAATTCCGATGTTGATCTCGTGTTCATCGTCATAAAACTCTCAATAATAACTTTTAAATCCTTTGAGACATATATGTTTCGAATATAGCATGCCGTGTTTACTGCTTCCGCCCAAAACGACGGGGATGCTCCGGCGCAGTAGAATGCTGCAGTACTCCGTTCCGTTGTCCGATTGAAGTGCCTTTTTTTTCTGCCTGTGACGTTTTAAAAACTTTAGATTTCAGTTTTAGAAAGTGCGGCTCACAGTGACGCCTGAAATCATCAAAGTATTTGCTTCCACCGGTTGATTGTGTACCCATTGGCCCGCACAAGTCGCTGTGCACAATTTTTAGCAAACAGCTAGTTCTGGGCTCTGTTGCCGGTAAAAATTTGTTTTTTACTGCCGACACACTTCGCATTCCGTTATCTTTGCGCCATTTTCAAATATTAAACCAAACCCTTTTAAAAATTTGGACATTTTAATCTAGTCGTTCTTATTTACATGCCCTAATCTGCCATATATCGACATCGTTTTGTCATTCCGTGGTAATATGATCTGCCTGATGCACTTTCTTATCCAAGTAGTAGAGGTTTCCAAATCCCGTAGCGCTCAGCTATTTCATACCGTTTCTTAAAATTACTGCATTATCTTTTCAGAAATGCACCTCAAATCTTTTGTCTGTAATTTTTTTTTGTCGTAAGCCGGTAACATATAGTACTTCTCTTAGCGTAGCTTCGCTCTCTTGATTATTTTCGTTTGTTTTGATTTTGATGCTAATGTCGCATACTTCGTTAACTGCAGTGGTTTTTGTGTTTGCCAAGAGCAGCTTTTTATCGACGTTCTTAATATTGTTGAACAGTCTTGCGTTTGAGCCCATATGTGGGGTAAATCCACTGTTGATAAACCACATGCTGTCCGGGGCTTCTGGAAAGTTCACCACTTCAACGATATTTAGGGATGTTGCCATGTTGGGTTTCTCACTCTTTGTTACGTTCCAATTTTATTGTAGGCGAAACATTTTCTGCTGTCCTTTGGAGTATGATACTGTACTTTTTTCGGTTTTTGTATGTGCCATAACGGTGGGTCTTCTCGTTTGCCTTTTGTTTTCCGACTTCTTCCATAATTTTTACACGCAGTACATTTGGGCTTGGCTAGTTATCCCTTTATACCATAGCGCAACGGAATGTTTCGTACTATCTGGAAGACTATATAGCAATAATAAAACGAGTAGATCATCTCCATTTTCTACTCGAATTTCCTTTTGTTTTGACACAGCATCGAAAAAATCAAGAATATGTTGGCGTACGTGTCCTCGATTCAGTAGGCCACTCTTCCATGCGATACCTTTTGACTGTAACTGCTCCTATAATTTAAGTCAACAGGCGATAGAAGTCTCGCAGCCGTCCAACAGTGATAATTCCAACTAAGAAATCGACCATGTTATGTCCACTCGGGCTTTCTCATCTTGCCGCCACCAAAATTAGTTTTTGTTTCGCGTTAAGTGGTTCGATCTTGATAAAGGTTTGATTACCAAGCTTGATAACTTGCATAACATTTAGGACTGGATTGCTGATCTCCTGGGACCATAAACTGGGGAATTTTGTGATATCCTGCGTAAGAATCCACTCGGTAGAATCCGCCCATAAATAATGCACTACGATCGAACGTTAAGTTCATAAGAAAATATAGTTGTAATTGCGAAATACTCAGTTATTACATCTTCTTGTTGCTTTGCTGGAAAAACTTTAAGTTACAACACAGAACCTGTGTTCTGCTTGATAACAAGTTAGAATTACACCAACACAAATCTTTAACTTTAAAAAACAAAAGTTTGTTGCCTGAATTTCCCGTAGTTATCCGTATATTATTCGCGAAAGAATAAAATTTGACGCTGTTTTTTAATTTCTTTTTTTTATGCCTTTTGTTCTGCTATATTAAATTATTTGTGAATGAATGAAATTTGCCGCTCGTGTTTTAATATTTTTTTTAAACAGACCATGTGTTCTGCTTACTTGAAATCAAGTTAGCAGTACACCTCCACTAATCTTCAACTTTTCGAAAAAATTGTTTTTGCAGGAATTAATGTTAATTTAGCAGTACACCCTCAATAAACTTCAACTCAAATTTTTCGCTCGTATTTCAACAGACGTTGAGTTCTGCTTACTTGATATCAAAAAATTCATAAAAACAAAAGCGGCAAATTTGATTCTTTCACGAATAACTTGATAAATATTACCGGCAAATTCCTGCAAAACAAAATTTAAAAGAAGTTAAAGATTATTGTTGGTAAACAAATGGTTTAAAAAAATAATAATAAAAAAAACAATAACGGCAATTTTTATTGTTTCCTGCAAGAAAAAAAATTCTAAATCAAATTAGCAATACACCAACACTTAACTTTAACTTTTCACGTCAAGTTAGCAGAACATTGGATAACTTTTTAAACAAATTTAGCGGCAAATTTTTATCTTTCACGAATAATTTACGAATAACACGGCATATTGTGACTTAAACCAAGACAGGAAGCAAACTTTGGCAAGCCGAAGTTCAAATACCCTTAAAACTATGATTAACCTGCGTATAAAAGCGTAATTCTGAACTGTCAAATAAATCATTAGTCTAAAAGGATTTCTAAACAAGAAAGGAAGCAAAATTCGGCAAGCCGAAGTTCATATACCCTTGCAGCTTTTGCAAGAATTAAATATTTTTAAAAACAGTAAAATTATGATTTACTTGCGTATATGTCTAAAAACATTGAAGCTATGATGATTTGCAGCTCAATTATTAGTTAGTTATTTTATATATTTTTATTATTTCTATAGGAGCTATATGATATAGTAGTCCGATTTTGATGAAATTTAAATCGTAACTCTGACATATTTAACCATTACTATATGTCGAAGAACTAAAAAATAAATTAAAAAACAGAAAAGTTTTCATTTTTTCTTATTTATTTTTTCGATTGTTCCTATGTGAGCTATATGATATAGTCGTATGATTTTGATGAAATTTAAACCGTAATTCTCAAATATTTAACCATTTACGGTTTAAATTTCATCAAAATCGGACGACTATATCATATAGCTCCCATAGAAACAATCGGAAAAAAATACAAAAAAAATTATAACTTTGCTGTTTTTAAATTTGTCTTTTAGTTCTTCAACATATAGTAATGGATAAATATTTCAGAATTACGGTTTAAATTTCATCAAAATCGGACGACTATATCATATAATTAAAAAAAAAAATTATAACTTAGCTGTTTTTTTAATTTTTTTCTTAGTTCTTCGACATATAGTATTGGTTAATCATTTCAGAATTACGGTTTAAATTTCATCAAAATCGGACGACTATATCACATAGCTCCCATAAAAATAATAAAAATATACAAAATAACTATCTAATAGTTGAGCTGCAAATCATCATAGCTTCAATGTTTTTCAACATATACGCAAGTTTAATGTTTTCAAAAGTATTTAATTCTTGCAATAGCTGCAAGGGTATATGAACTTCGGCTTGCCAAAGTTTGCTTTCTTTCTTGTTTTTATTTATTTTTCCGTTTGTTCCAATGGGTGTTACATGCTATAGTCGTCCGATTTTGATGAAATTAAAACCGTAATTCTGAAATATTTAACCATAACTATAACTCGAAGAACTAAAAAAAAAATTTTAAAAACACCAAAGTTATAATTTTTTGTATTTATTTTTCCGATTGCTCCTATGGGAGCTATATGCTATAGACGTCCGATCCGGCTCGTTCCGACTTATATACTACCTGCAATAGAAAGACACCTTTTGGGAAAGTTTCATGCAGATAGTTTTTAAACTGAGAGACTAGTTTGCGTAGAAACGGACTTTATGTTAAAGTCTTCTGATGTTGATGAAATTTAAACCGTAATTCTGAAATATACCTATATGTCGAAGAACTAAAAAAAAAAAAAAAAAAAAGATAAGTTATAAATTTTTTCATTTATTTTTCCGATTGTTCCTTTAGGAGCTATATGCTCGTCGTCCATTCCGGCTCGTTCCGACTTTTACTAACTTTTGGGAAAGTTTCATGCAGATAGCTTTAAAACTGAGAAACTAGTTTGCGTTGAAACGGACGGACGTACAGACGGACGGACAGACGGACATGGCTAGATTGACTCTCCTAGTGATGCTGATCAAGAATATATTCAATTTCTAGGGTCGGAAACGTCTCCTTCACTGCGTTGCAAACTTCTGACTGAAATTATAATACCCTCTGCAAGGGTATCAAAAATTTAGATTTTGAAAGTTGTAATGCTTAATGCACAAATTTTAGGTCTTTAATAAATAAACATTTTTAAAATTGTACTCACTTTTGCAAAAAGCAATTTATTCGACGGAGAATCCTTTCCAAGTCTGTGTTCTGAAGTTGAGCAGGCATCCATAAAAGTTTGCGCAATGACACTTAAACAGGAATCCACACAAAACGTTTTATTTACGTCAAAAATAAAATCTGGGTTTTTTATAAAATTAACCCAGAATCGAAGGGGTAAACAATTTGATTTCCAAGCGTGCACAATATCAGAATCAGCAATATCATGACGCCGCGCAGCCTCATCTAGTAAATCAAAGAGCCATTTCACAGCAGGTGGTAACTCCTCATTAACAGTTAAAATAATTGAGAAAAAATCATCAACAAATTTTTGTATAGTTCCTTTAGTTGCCAAAAGGCGTGTTAAATAGACTTCTGGAATCGTTTTGTTCACCCTCTCATTGCAATTATTTACGCAATGCGATGGTTGCAATACTGGTGTTGCTCCAGATAAGGCCGAATTTTTAATGTTCATATAATGGTCAGGTATTATAGGCTTAATAAGATGGTAAAGTCGAGGCTGTTGTAACCCTGACTCAATGTCATTATTAATTATAATATGGCTTTGCGAATTATTTATAAAATAAACTGAAATGTAAGAAAATAAGTTATGTTAATATGTCTATTGAGTGGTGTTAATTACTTACAATTGTGGTATGGAGCAGGATTTTGGTTTTTACTATAGGGTATATGATAATTATCATTTTGTCTTGCTATAAGAGACATAACAGCAGATTCTTTAACTCCATAATGAGCCAAAGTATTAAGGCGTTTCCACCCATTTATAGTTTTTGTGGTTAAGTCTTCATCCTGTAATGTAAGATGACCTCCTCGACCGTGTCTCCATTCTAAGTCTACTTCGTATACAGATGGTCTCATAGAAAACGGAGTATTTTTAAAAATTGCATCAAGAATTTTTAGTTTGACTTGAGAAATGGTATCCCAATCGTTAACGCGACATTGGACCTTTTCATCAAGATCATCTTGTAAAATATGCAAAATGACCACAGAGTGAGTAACTTGTTCGTGGAGGAGCCGTTCTTCTGAAAGTGAGTAACGAGCATCGTGGGTAATTGCGTCGACTAAGCCCTTTTCAATTTGATGCTTGATTGCCTTGAACAGCAAAAATAAATTAGATCCAGCATACTCCTTTAGGTAATCATACATACAAATTGCTAAGTAATTGGTTAACATTTTTTCAACTACGCTCTCAGTGCGCCGTAGCATTAACTGAGGATGTTTGGTGGCAAGTGATTTATCAATTAAACGCAATAAAAGGGACTTCAAGATTTCTGTGGCATATTCCATTTTGTTCATCAGAACAACCATAAGTAATGAAGCGACGTTCACTCGGTCTCGAATTGAGAATGATGACCTTTGAGCCTCTAAAGTTTCAATGAACATTAGTAAAAAATATTTATTACCGATGAGTTGTTCAAATTGCATCATAGCAGCATCATAGTTTGTGTGTGGGCTACTTCCACGAAATTTCGGCGAATTTAATATGGGGTGATCGGATACACCGGGAAAAAACACCTTCATAATGTAGTTGACGTGATCCAACGTCGGTATGCCAGTGCTCTCCAAATCTGCGGTTAGATCGGTCATGTCCGTCTGAAGCTCAGCAAATGCCTGCTTACACTCAGAACGTACATTGCTTTCCAAGGTAATCATTTGAATCTGAATGCGTTTGTATTCACGTTCTGCTTGTGTAGATTTCCTTCTAAATATTATGAGCACGATAACCAGAACAATGACAAGAACTGCTACCGTTAACATAACGACAAGCAATGCATGTGAGAAGACATAAGGTTTATTTAAATCATATTTCAAATATCCTATGACGAAACGCAGATTACGACCTACTTTCACTACAACCAGAGGTAAATCAGTAGATTGATCTACACCATTTTCATCAGTTGGTAGTGGTTGCTGCTCCGGCGGAATGCACAAAAGTTGGGTAAGTGCCAAACTGGTAATGTTACACTGAGTGGTACCAATAGTTACATTAACGTCATATTCATCAGCTGCTAAATTTAAAAGCTCGCCTTCTATGACCAAGCTGTCACCCTTGTAAAGTTTAATGCCGTCGTTAGGAAAAGGCAAATATTTGGGATCGGCTAAATAAACTATAGTGCTTCGTATATCGTGAAAATATTTATTCAAGTCTCGGACCAGCTGTACATTGTCCATTACAAAGCTTAGTTGTAAATTTAGTTGAGTTTCATGAACCTTTACAAAAGTTGTAACATCCACATTATTATTGACAAAATAGGTAGATGCAGTTCCTCCAGTTGTGTATACGTGAAAGTTTTCCACGGTGGCAGCTCTTCTCTTTTGCCTACCCACTTCAATTTCAAATCCACTTTCAGTTGACGAAGAAAAATTTTTATAGTCCGATTCCGAATTCAGCAACTTGTTGGTATTTTTAAAGTTTTGAAATTTATGATTCACGGGAGGAGATGGGCATTCCATTAGATTTGAGTTGATGACAAAACAAGACGTTTTGTTTATTCGTTCGTTGTCAAAGAAAACCTCAAGTTCAGGTTTTTGAATGGAATCGAGATATATTCCATGTACAGTCAAAACGCGACCACCACTTACAAAACTGCGTAGAGGTTTTATTTGCATTATTCGCGGGTCCTGAGTATAATTAAAAATGGAACATGGCTGCCTTAGAGGCGTACGGAATTGATAGGAAGCAAAGTTACTTCGTGCCGAATTTTTATTGGTAATACTTGGAGCAGATACCTGACACTCTAATGTTCGGTTGGCACCATCAATAACTAGGTGAAGTGACCGTATTGGTTCTGGCTGCGTCGCCTCTGATGTAGTACAGCTAACTTGGGAAGACGAAGCTTGTGTAACATTTATATGACACTCATACTCATCTAAAAATGCACGCATAGTTGAACCAATATTCAAAAACTTTCCTATTAATGACAATTGTGTTCCTCCCGATCTGGGTCCAATCGTAGGATATAGCCCTGTTAACAGCACATTCTTAAAATGAAATTGTACACTTGATTCAGTATACCCTGCATCATTTGCTACTTTTATAGGTGCTGACATTTCATACAACGCAGCTCCAGTGCGGCATTCAATCTTAACAGATATTTGGTAATTTACGAGTTCACAGGGTACCGATCCGATAAATATTTTACCACGAACGTCCTCTTCGCGAATACCTAAATTACTGCCTTCAATTGTAATAAGGGTGCCACCCTCAATAGGTCCCGATAACGGTTTAATTATATCGATCCTGGGTAAAGGACACTCGTTTTCTATAACCATTCTAGATCCCCCGCTGATAGAGGTTCTGTCTGCTATGCAAGTCTCATTATATACACATGAGTTGCTGCACCAGGCACATTTATATTTTGGGTTACGAGTGACACATAAACTACAGTCAGCATGATCGCGATGAGAGCCCAGTACGTCGCACTTGTACAATGTTACGATTGCTGTGTCTACATAGTGTTGAAAATTCCAAGTAACTACAACCTTTGCCTGGTACTCATGTGTATTAGTCTCGTAGAAATATGGCGTTTTCTCACACACAACAATTTTGTTTGACTCAATGTGCGCTGGCAGTAGCATCTGAGCGGCTTCAATATGAATTGTGCACAAGAAACCTGCATGAGCGCTTTTGGGTTTCGGTAAGTTTTCAATTTCGAGCCGAATTTCTTTCGGAACCCGCACTGGTAAAAGAATAGCAGGACGATTCTTTTTCAAATGTGGACATTGCCCAACAGCACTTATAGCGACTTCTATATTACGACATTGCATTGATTTGTGGACACATTTGTTGTCAAAAATACACCAATTGCAGCCCCAAGAACTGCGCACACATTCTTGACAATTTCCATGATGTGAACAGTCAAAGAATGCAAAATATCTTGATACAAAGTCCTTATTTGTCTCAGAACTTCTTACTGACAATGGCACCGAGACGTGGTCAGTATTAGCTGGAATAACTGGTCTCTCATCAAGTGGGGGCGTAGCACATCCAAGTCCATTGTCCAGAATTTCGGCATCAATAGGCGTAGAATTTCCAAAAACGCATCGATACTTTGCATTAAAAGGTTCAGGCAATGTTCGAATTATTAAATGCAAATTTGTTAGCTCAGTGATTGGAATTTTTTCTGGGATGATGGATTCAAATTCAATGCATTGCTGTCCACTGCCCAATGATAGCCAACGTGATGCTGATGTATCTCGTTGACAAGTTGATCGCACAGTGCACCGTTTTTCCAAGGAGCACCATCCACAAAAAGGATCCCGCGATTCCAGGCAAGCTGAACAATTTGTGTATACAGAGCAATGCTCAATTCTAAGCTTTGTTATTTTCCGTTGAGATAGAACGTAAAGAAAATCCTTTTTTGGTGACATCATTGTATTTGGTAGTATACGGTTTCCAGCATCTACAACTATTTCTTCATACTCACCTGGACTTTGTCCAGACAATAAAACTTTTTTTATTACTCCCATGTCAGTTCCAAGAAAAGCCAGAGAATGTTGCTGATCAGTCGTTGAAGTAGCAGTTACTGACGTAATGGACACGTTTTCAAAATGAAAGAGCGCATGGGTAGTGATAGGGGATACTCCGCTAATCTTAAGTCCAACAGAGCAAAAGTTGTAAATGTTACCCAGCGAACCAACTATTGGGCATCTTCCATCATTAATAGTGCCTGATATATAACCCAAATTTCGATCCTTAATGGTTCCGTTAAAACACAGGTGAATATTTTCAATAAACATATCTTCAATGTCCTTTATGCTATATATGCACATAGCCGATCTGCTTTCTGGCTGATCGCTTATCTCTTTCGACGGCGAAAACACAGTGACTAACACGTGATCATCTTTTTTTATTCCCATTTTCTGAGCTAGCTTTTGGCTGGCTGGGGTTACCTTAGCATCACGTATTATATTATAGTCGATGTTGTTTTCAGTTGCCGTACATTGAACAGTTATTTCAGTGTAGCTGTCATAATTAGGATCTGTTATACATATACGTGCCAAACGGGTTACATAACCTGCTTCATCTGCCAAATGTGATTTTTTTTGAACAATAACAAAGTACGCATACTCAGAAGAATTAAATCCATAAACGTAGTCGACCAAAAAATGATCCCGATATTTAACATCGATATTTATAATTGATTGCTGTATTGAAAACTCTGCGTAGTTTAAATCATCAAGGCGACGGGACGAAATGGCAGGCACATCATGACGATAATCACCAACGTTTGTAAATGTGGTCCCTACATATAATATATCTTCCTCTTTCCATGAATACCTTGACGGACCTACAAATGCATACGTAGATGCATTTTCATCGTTAGCAGCCAATGGGACAGCAAAAAACTGAGGCGTTGCTGGGAACCGTGGCAGGCTGTAGATTTCGCATGCTCCTGTCAATAAAAAAAATTATTTTTTTTTAACAAAATAACGAAGTAGTCGAGTTCCTCAATAAATAAAGATAAAGATATTTATAACTATAACATTTTGGAAAGTATTATGTTGATTCATTTTTAGACACATCTACTAAAAAGGGAACGCTATGTCGAGATACCCGACTGTTAGATACTCGTTTTTCAATTATCAAATAGAAAAATAAATAAGTTTCGCAGTGCAAGTTACTCACACAAGTAAAGTTTGAGCATGTCATAGTATGTGTGCTGACCGCTGCCTTTTATGCACGAACGCCGCTTTTCAAATATGCAGTGAAACATAAAAAAAAAGTGATTGTCAAAAACTTATAAAACAATAAAACAAGAAGGAAAGCAAACTTCGGCAAGCCGAATATACCCTCATATACCCTTGCAGCTATTGCAAGAACTACACATTTTTGAAAACATTAAAATTATGATTTACTGGCGTATATTTTTTAAAAACAATTGAGGCTATGATGATTTGCAGCTCAATTATTTGATATTTATTTTATATACTTGTATTATTTCTATGGGAGCTATATGATATAGGCGTCCGAATTTGATGACATTTAAACCGTAATTCTAAAATATTTAACCATTACTATCTCTCGAAGAAATAAAAAGCAATTTAAAAACACCAGCAGATTTAATTTTTATACCCTTGCAGAGGGTATTATAATTTCAGTCAGAAGTTTGCAACGCAGTGAAGGAGACGTTTCCAAACCTATAAAGTATATATATTCTTGATCAGCATCACTAGCAGAGTCGATCTAGCCATGACCGTCTGTCCGTCCGTCTGTCCGTCCGTCTGTCCGTCTGCCCGTCCTTTTCTACGCAAACTAGTCTCTCACTTTTAAAGCTATCTGCATGAAACTTTCCCAAAAGTTGTCTTTCTATTGCAGGTAGTATATAAGTCGGAACGAGCCGGATCGGACGACTATAGCATATAGCTCCCATAGGAACAATCGGAAAAAATACAATAAAATAAAACAAGAACGCAAGCTCTAAAAAAAACGAGCAAAACTTGGTAACAAGAACCAGACGAAGAGCGGAAGAGTTATCAATACCAACAAAACTAAGCAACACTAGAAGCACTAAGCCGATACGGAGAATGCACGCTCTCTCTCCTGCATTACTATGAACAAGCGGCAAAGAAAAAAATGAACCGTGGAGTGTCCAATGCGCCCGATATCGTCCTCTTTTACCCCTACTAAAAAATACGAAAACTGCTAACGGAGCGTTACTACAAACTGGAATTGATCGCTAAATGCAACTTAAAGAAAAATGAAGCTTACAATCAATGAGAAAAACAAACACAAACAAAGTTAACAAAACAATTGAAATTACTATGCTAAACGATAAATAAATAAATAAATAGATAAATAAATTTTTTATTCTAAGCAACCCAACCGAAGACGATGATACCGTTCATTACCTAGGTCCAAGTTACCGGCCGCCACCCATTTATGGTCGTCAGGCAAATTGTGCTGAATTGGTAAAAAAAAAAACAAAATTACAGACCAAATTGCCGAAAATAAATTCTCGTGTCTATAAAAATAAAAGTAAATGACGAACTAGATTATCGTTCAGTGGCCAAGTATCTCGACATTAGTTCACCAAATTAAAAGTTGCAAATGACTACAATTGGTTATTAAAGGAATCGAGTCAACAGTCCCTATCGACGAGATGATTGCTGGACTAGATGAAAAGAGCTTTGATGTTAAAATAGCTATGAACATAATAAATATAAATAAAGTTCCCCAACCAATGTTCAAGGTAGGGTTGACGCCTTAAAGTACGCCTAAAAAAATGAAGTTCACCCAATTTACAAGCTGCAATATTTACTGCACCGTAGATTCGCCGTTGAAGAACCCGTCAGTCTGCGTTGCCTGTGGCGATGCAAATCCAACTGACCATCCAGCAGACCATTCTGAAAGAATTGATAATTCGCCGAAACCAACAAATACCTGCAACTGCAACAAGACGTTCAGTATATACCATCAACCACTACTGCGGGAGTTTCTTTTCCCCAGGCCTGAACCTGTATGCCGACATTTCATCAAACCACTGTTTAGATGGTTTCTCTAACATTAAATAATTAATTAAATAATAAATGATTTTGCTGTCACATTCGCGCGGAACACTTAGCAAACCTATAGTCGGATCACTCGTCAATCTTACTTCACCTCTATGACCATCCACAGCTGTCAGAACGCACACACTTTTAAACTTCTAGTAAAACAGATTGGCTTAAACACAGAAAGTATATTAGTACCCATTTTAATTACTGCCCGATCGTTTTTGTAAAGAAGACATTGACAGCTCAGTAGATGAGTTAGTGTCTGTTATGTCACTGGCTCCACAAAATTCCATTCCAATTTTACCTCCTAGTAAGCCTTTCAACAGCAGTCGTGATTCTATATTGAGGAACTGCTACGCAATAAATGAGTGCCAATCGTCGAAGGGAAGTTTAAAAATAGCCAAAAACCTACTACGTAAAGCCCAAGAAGATGAGAGAAATCGAGCTAAAGTATGCTATATGGAGCTAATCTCTCCAAATAGTAAACGATATCCACTGTGGAAAGCTAAATCAACCAAACAAACAGGAGATTTGTCCTCCATCTAAAAAACGCCTTCAAACCACTTCCAGCAACAAATAGCTTTAAGCTTTCAATAATCAACAATTAAGTAACAAGAGTCATAAAGTCTCAAGAGATCAAGAAAGCACCGGATCACGATTTCATCTCCCCTAAATGATCCTAGAATTCCGAGCTGTGCAGTATATTTGCTCACAAAAATATTTAATAGCGTGACGAAATGGGCTATTATTCTCAGCAGTGGAGGAAGTCTGTCATCACAATGACCCATAAAGCCGGAATGGACAAGTTCAACCATCGTCATACAGACCAATCAGTCTGCTACCGAGTCTCTCGAAGATTTTGAAAAGCATCAAGTAACACCTTCAGCCCATTAATGCCATACCGATGCACCAATTAGGTTTTCCCGAATTACACGGAATTATAGAACAAGTAAACCGGATAACATCTGAGCTACGAAATGCATTTGAACGACGAGAGTATTGCTTCGCTGTCTTTCTTACTGTCGCCCAGGCTTTCGACCACGTTTGGTTAGACGGCCTAATTCATAAAATTTAAATGATTCATCCACAAAACACCCATAAAAATATTGGCGTCATTCCTGCAGGAAAAAAAAGTTTTGCAGTACCACGCAAAGATACCCCAAGTAAACGTGCTTGGACAGACACTTGAAATCGTTTACACAGCAGATCTACCGACAACCAGTCTTACAAAAACATCAACATTTGCTGATGATGCTGCCATTTTAAGTCGATCTAAATGCTCTGCAACAGCAACGCAGATCGGCTTGCCGATTGGCGCATAAAATAACATCAACATTACACAAGCAACTGAAGTAACATACCTTGGAGTCCACCCGGATAGACGGCTTACTTGGCGTAAGCATATTGAAGCTATAAAAAATGTACTAAAAATTAAAGCATGAAGTCTACACTGGCTAAAAAACATCCGTTCACCAATAAAACTGGAGTACAAAGTAGTTTTGTTCAATGCCGTCCTTAAACCAATTTGAATATATGGCTCCGAACTATGGGGAAACGCATGCGTTAGTAACTTAGAAATAATTAGGTTTTGGCGTTCTTTTTGACCCATAACTAAAGCTTTCAGATCATGTTTCGTCCGTGGTAAATCAAGGGTGAGCTGGGAAAAGAGGGATGTGTTGAGAGGAATTTAATGATCCCTATGATTTTATTTATTTCACTAGTTCGTCCGATTCGGTAGTAAGTTCCTTCCGTTTGAACGAATGAATCAATGAATCAGAACAAAAAAAAGTTCTACTTTTTGCTCAACTGCGTCTTTTACTGTGTTCTTATTATATCTAATATAATATCAAATTCGACCTGTCTACCGCTCTTAAAACGTTTAATCCTTCTTACTAATACATATTTATATGTATACATATATATATTTTCCCAGAACTTTTATTACAATTTTGAAATCTCGATGGATTAAGTGGGTATTAGCACTAACCATACACCATATAGACTGGTCATTTCATATAACGAATTTGGACATAAAACTTTGGTAGCGGGCTCTCAGCAGCAGGCCCGGCGCTTCGTGTGCATTTGGGTTTTTTGCTCTCTCATTCTTATTATCATTTTTATGCTCGCGAACTCATTGCACGAGTTCAGTCGTGTAGTCACAAAGAGGCACATTTTGAAGAAGGCTGCCCTGCGCTTGAATTGGTCTTTGTATGTATGCGTGATCATGCAGACCCTCGGACTCTCAGCAGCAGGCCCCGGCGCTTTTGCTACTTTTTAAACTCGGTACCCTCAGAATATGGGCGTATTTACTATTGGGCTATGATAAAAATATTTTTTTTTGTTTACATATGCATTTTATTTATTGAATCTTCTCTGAATTGAGACTAACAATAAGTATATAAAATCTTAAATTAAAACTATAACTGACAGTCAAGATGACTGATGCGAGATGAAAAGGCTCTAATAACTATTGCTGAGCTGGAAGGTCATTGCGTTGTAATCGGGTCCGGTTGGAAACCCTGGATAGGTCCCTGGCGAGCTGGTTTGGATGAGAAGTTAGTTTGGTGTGGTAGGACGCTTTTTGTTTTGATATTTCATCTTTTACGGGTAGAATGCCAAGATCTCTGTGGATGTTGTCGTTCCGAACATACCAAGGTGCCCCAGTGATAGTTCTCAGGATTTTTGATTGTGCTCGCTGAATAATATCGATGTTACTGCTGCTCGCGTTTCCCCACAACTGGGAGCCGTAAGTCCAGACTGGCTTAAGCGTTAAATTGTAGAGCAGGACCTTGAAGTCTAGGCAGAGGGGGGAGCGACCGTTTATGAGCCAATGGAGGCTATTTGATTTTAGTTTTAGATGAATTTTCTTAGCTTCGATATGTCTCCGCCATAGTCTCCT